CAGGAGGAAGGTAAAAGGAAACAGAGGAAGGACCAAGGGAGCAAAGCAACGGGTAGAGGTATAAACATAGCGGTGCACACATGTAAACACATTAATCCACAAAAATAGAGGTATTGGCCCATGTACATATATTTATACGGCAATACACTGAGGTAGGGGATGGACTTTGGGCCTCTGCTCCTACCCTCCCTCAACATAAGAGAGGAAGATAACCCCAATCATATAGAGTGCTAGTGGTGTAGTGAGTTATGTATGCACCGGACTGCAAGTGCAAGGCCCGCAGTTCAAACGGACCAGGCTTTTTACTGGAGAAAGATGAGGCTTTGCTCACCTTTAAAAATGCAAAGGCTCAGAAACCAAAAGCGCAGTTCCACAGCCCTGTGGGGTCACTCTGTGTTGCATGAACTTGATGGCAGTGGCAGGAAGGCAGGTAGCCCACACAGCGTGTCTCAGACCCAGCTGCCCAGATCTAGGTCAGCGCTCACAGGTTAGAAGGACACCTCTCCAGACTGCCTGCAGAGTGTCCTCCTAGCTCTTGCTTGCTCTCACTGCCCCTGTGGGTTCAGTCATTTGTCAAAATAACTCATAGAAATCATGCAGAGTATACTATGCTTAAGGCTTCTGGATTTATTACAGCCAAAAAAGGGTTTGGGGTGAGGTCTCAAAGCGGTCATAGTATGGAATGCTCCATACTATGTTCCATAGAATGTTCCAACTAGGGACATGCTACCCTCTCCTGTGTATGGTCACCATCTAGGAAGCTCATCTGAGCCTCAGGGTTCATGGCTCTTACTGGCCTCCCTTCATGGCCACGATAGATTGCACATTGCCAGGTGAGGCTTGGTATCATCAGGCCCCCAGGGGTTGGTATGGCTAGAACTAAGAACGAGGCTAAATTGCTTTTTGCAATTCACACCTCTCAGACGTGTTCCAGATTAAAGGGGAAATGTGACAACTAAGCGCATGTGATTCTAGACTGGCTTCTCTGTTGGAGAATAGGAATTCTGTGAAAGGACACGATGAGGATGGCTTTCCATGGCTCGGTGGGCTAGCACGGTGTCTGCACAGCAGCTCGGGTCAGCATGGCACTCCCAGGACTCCCCTCATCGCCTTACAGAAGGGCTTGCAACCAGTGCGCTCGCCCTCCTCTCCTGTATATTTTCCTGAGCACCTTGTCACCAACGCTTGTGCTTGTCACCACCTGACTGTTGCTGAGCTGTGTGGAGGCAGACTCCTACCTTCTACAGACTCTCCATCACCTGACAGCCGACAAGCTTTGTGGCCTCATGAGATTAACAGTTACTGAGGACACAAAAGAGCATATCGCCTATGTGGATTGTATCTCTTGACATTTTCCATCCATTTAAAAAAATTAAAACCGTTTATTAAAAAATGTAAAAGTATGTATCCTTTCATTTAAAAATAGCAATAAGTTCATGACGTGAACGTCAAACAAACAGGCTCACTGCCATCAAGTCGGTTCCCACTTACAGTCACCCTGTAGAGCAGAGTAGAACTGTTTCTATGGGTTTCCAAGACTAAATTTTTACGGGAGTAGAAAGCCTCATTTCCCTGCAGGGACACGGTAACATCAATAGCATCTATTTGTGGGGGTGGGAATCCAAATCAATGAAAATTGAGTGAGCAGAGTGGCACTGCTCCACCGTTTTTGCAAATCTCCTCTATGATTGGCATTACGGCAGCCTCTGGGCTCTTTCTGCTCACATGAAGTTTGTTGTGATATCACGTTGCGTAGCTTCTGGAAAGCGCCCCTGAGCACTGTGAGGGAGGGAGAAAAGCCAACGGCACTTTAGTATGAGCATGACAATGCGCTTGACCCTCTCTCAGTAGATAATTGTTGAATGAACAGATAAATCCCCACGTGACAGTTGTATGGGTTAGCAGTGGATGGGTTTACACATCGCAATCTGTTCCTGCAAGGCTCACCCCCGGGGCTCGTCTGCACGTCTCCGCCTCAGTGCTGCTCTGCTCCTTCTGTGCCAGGTGTCCCGGTGAGCAGCAGAGTGTCCTCCAAAATCCAGCAGCTTCTAAACACCCTGAAGAGGCCCAAGCGCCCTCCACTGAAGGAGTTCTTTGTGGATGATTTTGAGGAATTGTTGGAAGGTAAGGGGCCCCTGACTTTCCCTCTGCTTCTGTGAGTGCGTGAGCAGGGGGGTCTCTGGGCCTGCGGTCACCTCTACCTCCACACTCCGTGGCTACCTCGTGTGATCGTTTCAAATGATGCTTTGTTGAAGCAAGTAGAAAATGCATCACTCATATTAAAATGACCTAGCATTTCTCTGTGTTCCTAGCCCAGCGGCTGAAAATACTTTTATAGTTTCATTTTACTTAATGTCATGTAAAATTTCATTTAAACTTTAGAAAATTTGGAGATTAGAATAAAAATAGATGAATTTTTTTTAAAAGAACCAAAATCAAGCCAAACTCACTGCCATCGAGTCAGTTCTGACCCATAGCAACCCTCTGCTTACAAGAAATCTATGCCTGGGGACCACGAGACTGCCTAGGAGCCGGCTGTGAGGACTGCAGCAGCCCCCACAGAGTCCCATCCTCTTGGTTCCTGGCTCCACTTCTGTTCAGGCCAGCAGCCAAGTGTACCCAGCGGATGGTCTCCCCAGTGCCTGAGGATGTAGCATGGCTTTTAGGACGTTACTTCTTCATAATCAGATCATGGCCTTTCAAATTCAGAGTTCAGGGGTATGAATGCTTCTGAGAGCTATCTGTCTCATACATGAGGAATTTTGGTTAATAGTCACCAGAACTATAATACATTTTACGATAAAGTTTTTGTGCAACAATGTGATGTGCACTGTGAGTGCCCGAACCCCTTTGGTGACTCTGCTCAAGTTCCTCCTTTATAAGCTGGGCATTAGTCCTTGCTTCACCGGGGTTATGGATAACATAATTAATTGTGATAACATAATTAATTGTGATAACATAATTAACCTTCAAGATGCCCTGTGCCAAGGGTTGACAGGTTGACGAGGTATGAACACCATCGTTAGGCTACCTTTGTCATGTGAAGGGGTATAGTGGATTGACATGTTGGCTGCTAACCACAGGTAAGTAGTTTGAAACTACTAACTGCTCTGTCGGAGAACGATAAGATTTTTCTACTCCTGTAAAGAGTTATAGTCTTGGAAATCGACAGGGGGAGTTCTACACTGTCCTACGGGTCTATCTGCATAAGAATCAACTTGATGGCAGTGTCTTTTGGTTTTTTTATCATATAAAGTTATGATTATTAGGTTAGTGCTTAACTTTCAAATGATCATTATCCATTTGAATTTCCATCCATTCTTGGTTAATGAGCCTGTGACTATGGTAATGATAAGCAAATGTAAACAAATCATTATAAGCTTCAGAATAGTGTATGGAACTCTGAAATGTTTTCTACTTGGGTTTTGTTTGTAGTTCAGCAGCCGGATCCAAATCAGCCGAAACCTGAGGGCAGTCAGATGGTCATGCTCAAAGGGGAGCCCCTGGCTGTGGGAACACCCTGGCCACCATCACTGCTGGCCGCTTTGCAGCAGTGGGGCACAACTCAACCCAAAGCCCCCTGTCTGACTGCCTTGGATACAACTGGGAAGGCCACATACACTCTCACCTATGGCAAGTATTCTTAGAAAGTATGCTTCCTGTTTAACTGTAAAAGATTACACCTGTAGCCCAACTCGCCAGACAACTGAACGGACATCATAAAACAAATTCCTGCGACACGGCACAATGAGCACATGGAACATTGCCACACTCTGCTTCGGTCCCCTCCTAGATCACTGCCCCTCCTTTCACCAGAAGCGGAGTAATCAATGCTGCTCCGTCTCCCTAGTGTATGTACCCATGTGTGCATTTCTAAACAGCAGCATTTAGAGGTGTCTGATTTTGAATAAATGGTGTCACACATTCTGTATCTTTTTTTGCTGGGCATCTTTTGGTTCCCTTTGCTTTCATGTAAGTGTTCTTGAAGTAAGCATACACGCACATGAAATCAGCACTAAGATCTTCCTCCCAACACACAAATGGCCGCCATTATTCTGACGACTACCGTCGATGGCTTGCCTGTACTAAAGTTTTGTGCGAATGGGGTTTTATTAAAGTGTTCTTTTGGGTCTCCATTCCTTTGTTCACCATTATTTGTGAGACTGCTAAACGATGCTGCAAAAAGTGGTTGTTAGTTTTTTTCCCTTATTGATGGGTATGAATGATATCATTGTATGAATATGCCAGAGCTTAGTTTTACCCTTACAGCAGATGGGGTTTTAGGCTCTTTCCACTTCGGGCTATTGTGTAAAGTGCTGTTAATGAACATTCTCATGTGAGTCTCCTGAGGAACACAGGCAGGCTTTTGTGCTGGGTATAAATCTTGATGTGGAATTGTTCAACTTTAGGACATAGTACCAAGCGGTGTCCCAAATGGGAACAGAGTTTTCACTGCTACCAGTATTACAGGAAGAGTTCCAATGGCTCCACAGCCTCACCAACACCCGACCTCGTGTTCATCATAGTCTTTCTGTTAGGTGTGTGGCATCACATTACAGTTCTAATTTGTAGACAACCTGACAACCAATGATGCGACTCGTGTGCTTGCTGGTTGTTTGAAAGTCTCCTTTTATACACGCTCCAGATTTCTAGCTCATTCTTCCACTAGGTTATTAGCATCTAAAATTTTCTTTATATGTTTAATATCTCCTTTGTCAGATACATCCTTTGCAAATATTGTCTCCACTCTTTGAATTGTGGCTTTTCATGAATGGAGATCCTTAATGTAACGTAGTCCAGTTTCTTTTTCTTTGACGGCAGTGCTTTCTGGGTCCTGTTTATGGAGTCTTCGCCAACCTAAGGTCACAGAATAGTTTCCCGTGTTTCCTATCAAAAGCTTCTCACAGTTAGGGGCTATAATCTCTCTAGAACTTAATTTCATATGTGTTGTGAGGTTGAAGTAATTTTTTTTTTTTAATTTTAGGAATATCCAGTTGGCCAAGTTTTGTTCACTGGTGGTTTCTGTAGGGACTCTTTCCCTAGGTCAAGAGCATGACATTATTCTGTTAATCTTGGGAAAGCTGTGGTGCTCTGGCTTTCACACTTATATCTACTATTCACTTGCAATTCGTTATTTGGGGGTATGGCATGTTCACAGTATTTCGCTATCGATGAGCAGCTGTCTCCTGACTTCTAAGAAAAGGCTCCACTCTTCTGCTGTCAGCAGCCAAGCTGTCCACATGCACCTGTTTGGGAGTTTGCTTCCCCGCCATTCATCCATTAATTCGGACCTTCTGCCACAAGACACCCTCTTAGTTATTATAGCTTTATTATATGCCTTATTACCTGTAGAGTATGTCTTCTCACCTAGTTTTCTTTAAGAGCGCCTTGGCTATCCTTCCTCTTTGTATTTCAGTGTCAGTGTTAGAGCCTGCCTACTGCCTCAAGCGTATCTGTGGAGGTTTTGATCAGCAGTGCTTTGAATCACTTCATTGTGGAGTCTTCCAGTTCAGTAGGAGCCTGGCTGGTGTAAGCCATTTGCTGTCAGCTGGTCACTCGAGGTGGGTGGCCCAAACCCACTTAAGCGACTCCATGGAAGGAAGGCCTGCCCATCTCCGTCTGTAAGGCAGCAGTGGAGCAGTTTCTGTCTGCACACGTGCTGTCACCCTGAGTCGGGACTGGCTCAATGGCAGCGAGCAGCAACAACCAGTCCACAACATGACAGAGCTTTTCATTCTTTCAAGGGTTTTGTTTTGCTTCCACTTTAGCTCAGTGAAGAGAGAGACCGTGTGTATTGTCTCTGGAGAGAAAGTGTGTATGTTCCGTGGCATTTATTCTTAGGTATCTGAGGGGCATGTTTTAATCTTGTTGCGACTGTCACATGAGGTTGGGTGGTGGGCGTATGTACAACAACAAAGCACTGCCTGGTCTTGCACCATCCTCACAGTTGGTCTTATGTTTGAACCGTTGTTGCAGAAACTGTGCCCTTCATCTTGTCAAGGGTCTTCCTCTTTTTTGACCTCCCTCTACCTTACCAAGGATGATGTCCTTCTCCAGGGACTGCGCTCTCCTGACAACATGTCCAAAGTACAGGAGTTGAAGTCTCGCCATCCTTGCCTCTAAGGGGCATCCAGTTGTCCTTCCAAGACAGATCTGTTCGTTCTTTTGTCCGTCCATGGTACTTTTCAATGTTCTCTGCCGACACCATAGTTCAAATGCGTCAATTTTTCTTTAATCTTCCTTATTCAGTGTCCAACTTTCACATGCATCTGAGGCAATTGAAAGTACCAGGGCTGGGGTCAGGCACACCTTAGTCCTCAAAGTGACATCTTTGCTTTTGAACTTTATTTATTTAATCATTTTATTGGGAGCTCTTACAGATATTATAGCATTCCATGGTGCATTTGAACACTTTAAAGTCCTGTGCAGCAGAAATCTTCTCGTGAAGAGTGTTATTACAATTTTTTAATTTGCTGCTTATTGCTAGCATATAGAAATCAAATGACATTTGCATATTGATATATCCAGCAGCCTTGCTACATTCAGTTACAGAAGATTCTCTGAGATTTTCTATATACACACCGTCATGCTACTTACAAACAATGAGTTTTCTTTCCAATTGTTTTGCCTGTATTTGTTTTTTCTTAGTCTTATTCACAGGCTAGGGATTTTAATAAAATGTTGAAGGCAGGTGGCTGATGTGCTTCGACTATCAGAGCAAAAGCTTTCAACATCTGATCATTAATTACAATATTTTCTACATGATATCTATGTCATAGACATTTAGAAAGTTTACTTTCATCTAAATGTAAGAATGATTTTAAAAATTTTGATTGAGTTTTAAGTTGGTATATTTTGCTACCATCTATTGAAATGTTTGCTCTATTTTTATCTTTACTAAGATGGTAAATTACATTAATCATTAATCTTTTTTTAAATGCCAAACCAACAGTGTTGGGGATTGAATATTTTATATTCTCTGGGGACATGCAGGCCCCCTAAGTACAGCTGAAGACATAACGTCACAGGAAAGGACTGTGCTATAGGTAATACAGTAATGGGAGGGGGGTGGTCTAGGGGTATACATGCAATAGGAAGAGGAAGGATTGGGGTATACATGTGGCAAGATGGGCGGATCCTAGATTCAGGATGGCAGCCTAACTTTGGATGTCACTGAGCCGGTTTGACCTGTTCTCTGGCTCATCTGTAGAGACTGAGATAGTTTATTGTGCCAGCCTGGCCGATAAACACAAGTGGGATTAACTGAAGGGCGGAGAGATAAATGGCTCGGTGAGCCTCACCTTTCTTGTTTCTCGCTCTTTGATCATCGGACTAGTGTGGGGCTGCCTTGCTTGTTCTGTGCCTCAATTTACAGGCTACACTACCTGTGGGACTCTTAACCTGTGAACTGTGTCGCTGTAAGTTGAGGTCCCTTTAAGACATCTCTGGAACTGGAGACTGGCAGTTGGTGACCTGCCTTATGATTGGCTGCTGTGCTGAGATAGCCTAGTTCTCTCTCTATATAGAGGAAGATCTGGCAGCAGACTAGTCTGAAAGGACTGCTTGTGTCTCACAACTCTCTCACGGGAGTGAGTTGCACTGAGCCATTTGTACTGCTTTATAATTTAACTGTTCATTTCTTATATATCTATCTGTATATAATTTAACAGTTCATTTCTTGTGTTATATATCTAATTATCTTTATAAATAAATATATTAAATTATCAGCAATTTGGGTTTATCTCTCTAGAGAGCCCTGTCTAACACAGAGACCATTATCAGTAAGGTGTGAACTCCACCTACAGGAACCAAATTGATGACTGATGACTGCAAGTCTTTAGGGAGAAGTAGCCCATTGTCCTTAACAGCAGGGAGCAGGCCTTACCTTGGTGGGACCAGACAGTTGTCTGGCAACTGACTGCCTTTAGGGAGGATGTCTCTAAGCATCTGACCTCCCACCATATGCTGGCAAACAGCCCCTAATGTTTGGCATGTCTTTGGGGGAGACAAAGCTGGGGGAAAGTCTCTTTATAATCCCACAGTCATCTTTGGGTCCTCCAAGCTGGTGTGCTTTTTCCATGGGGGCTTAGTTGACACCTCACTTATTTGGTGGCTTGTTTGGGTACAAGCCTTTAAGACCCCAGATGCTGTTCTTTCTGATAGCCCAGCACCATCTGTGAAGCTCTCCTTTGTGAAGCACTCATCAAGCTGAATGCTCTGAATAGAGCTGAGGATCATGAGGGAAGTGCCCTCGCCACGACTGCTAACACCCAGAGGTGGCCTGCTGAGGTCCCACATGGACCTCCAGCAGCTGAAGGCTCTTGGGACGTTATTGAACCTCCCTGACTCACCTCTGTAGTAAACTGGAGTTGTAAACATGACCCAACTCCTGGATTTCCATGAAGAGTAAATGAGTCATGTTATATGCTGCTGTTTTAAATAAGGTAATCGAGAGATATTAAATGACACAGAAATGCATTTGCAATGCAGTGCTGATTGAAAAAGAGTGAAGTAGGATCCCATTTCTTCACAATGACGTGTACATTTATGTACATGTATATACATATCAGAAGAATACTAGACCTTTTTATCCTGGTTTTCTGTATTCTGAGGTTTCTAGAATGACATTCTGCTTCATTTTTATATTAAGAAAAACAGGTCTATGCACTATTTTTAAGAGGGAATCTTCACTTTCACTGCAGCATTTTACAGAATATAGTTATCAGTGGAGACTCAAAGCCCATCTGTAGACTTTTGGACATCCCCTTACAGAAGGGTTACAAGGAAGAGACGAGCCAGTCAGTGTGCAGTATAGCACCAATGAAACATACAACTTTCCTCTAGTTCTTTAATGCTTCCCCCCACAACTATGATGATCCCAATTCTACCTTAGAAATTAGGCTAGACAGAGCATGTACACGGGGACAGATAAGAACTGGACACACAGGGAATCCAGGGCAGATAAACTCCTGAGGACCAATAATGAGAGTAGCGATACCAGGAGGGTAAGGGTAAGGTGGGGGTTGAAAGGGTGAACTGATCACAAGGATCTACATATAACCCCCTCTCTGGGGGACGGACAACAGAAAAGTGGGTAAAGGGAGACATCTGTCAGTGTAAGACACAGGAAAATAATAATTTATAAATTATCAAGGGTTTGTGAGGGAGGAATGGGGGAGGGGAAAAATATGAGGAGTTGATACCAAGGGCTCAAGTAGAAAGAAAATGTTTTGAAAATGATGGTGGCAACAAATGTACAAATGTGCTTTTCCCAGTGGATGTATGTATGTATTGTGATAAGAGCTGTATGAGCCCCCCATAAAATGATGATTAAGAAAAAGAATATAGTTATCACCACCTGAATTTCCAGTAATTGAGTAATAGGCACATTATGTACTATGGTTGCCGCATTAACATGTTAATTATTAGTTTCTTGAATTTTACTTTGCTTAGTATTTTTGTTCTATTATAGGCAAACTTTGGAGTCGGAGTTTGAAACTAGCTTATACTCTGCTTAATAAACTGACTCATAAGAATGAACCACTACTTAAGCCTGGAGACAGAGTGAGTAACTGGAAGGCAATGGTATTGGGGGAGTGACATTACAGGTTGAACTGTCTGCTCTATTGAAACCACTATCCGTTTGTTAGTGAAGTCAGCCATAAAGCAATCTGAAAAATGGAAGAAGTGTGTAATGTGCAGCGTAAAAGAAGTGTTGCTCTTAATATTCCTCATTACCCATACACTGATTCTTGATTTCTAGTTGACTTCATTTATGTTGATGTTAATAATAATATATAAAATTAATAATATTAATATTAAGTTCCTAAAATTTTAATTTTAGGAGTTAACTTTGACCTTAGAGATTTTATGTACTCTATATCGCCTCCTTAGGTATTCTGTGCGACCAGGCAGCCCCCTCTCACCCACCTGCCAAGACAAAATACAACAGACTAGATACTTACTCTCTAGCCCTACCCTGCTCATGACAGTTGACAGTCGCTGCCTTTGGCTGGGGACTGTTGTGTTGGATAGCAGGGATATAGAATATTCCATCACCACAGAAACTTCTACTACATCAGTAGGCCTAGAAGAATATAGAGGAAATTCAAGAAACTCATAGCAAAATACTCTTGTTAGAAAGGCTTCATATGATCGGATCACCCAGTGGCAGGGCAGACAAGCAGACAGAGTTCCAAGTGCCACTTTTCATGTCTTACTCTTTAGGGTGACCAGAACATGTAAGAGGGAGCATCCAGCGTGACACAAACTGACGGAAGGGGAAGGAAAAGAAAGGACTAGCAAGCAAACTTGGAGAGAAGCTAAATAGTGGAAGATACAGAAAATCATGTTTATTGAAAATTAGTACTCATTTCCCTGGGGATTTGAGATGAAGATATTTTTCCATAATCAAGAAGTGGATGCTAGTAGAAAAGACAGAGAAGGAAACCAGGAGAGAACAAGAGTTTGAAAATTAAATAGGAGTTCCAAAAAGAGAAGGGAGAACACGGGATGGAAATATTTAATGTAACAATAGCACAAGCGGGTATCCTAGACCACCAGAGCAGGCATAGTCAAAGTGACATCATCTGAAATTGAACACAGGTGATGAATATATATGTGCATATACACACATAACATACATGCAGAGGAGCCCTTGCGATGTAGTGGTTTTGCGTTGGCTTCCGATCTGCATATCAACAGTTCGAAACTAATATCAGCTCCATGGGAGAAAGACTGGGATTTCTATTTCCATCAATAATTCCAGTCTCGGAAACCTACAGGAGGTTGGTATGAGTTAGCAATGGCTTGGTGGCGGTGAACATACACACGAGAATGCTTTAAATTATTTTATCTTTTAATTCCATTTCTCCACAAAATTTTTGAAGCCCCCTCGTGTGTGTGTGTGTGTGTGTGTGTGTGTGTGTGTGTGTGTACACTCATATTCAGCTTCCATGGTTGATTCCTACTCATGGCGTCTTTGATGTGGACTTAGTTGCCTCCTCCTGTAGATGGCTGTTTGTTTGAATACAAGCCTTTAAGACCCCAGACACCATTCCCATGGGTAGTCGGGCACCATTTTTTTCTTCACCACACTTTGCTGTAGCACCTTATCTCCAGTGATCTCTTCATGAAGGCGAATATTGAACAGGACTATGTTATAAGAACTAACTGTTCGTGGATTGGGGCTCAAGTTAAGTGGGAGCCCAGAATCCAACTGCTTGTCTACTGGTTATGAATGACTAGTTTACTTTGGTGGTCATATTATGACAAAAACAAAACCTCCACCACCAAAACCCCAACAACAAAACAAACAAAAAAGAAAACCGTTGTCAATCACCGCCCTGTGATATAAGGCAATTGCATCTATCGATAACATCAATAATTTACCCAATGGCATGGAATTTAACGTACTGTTGATCTGATGAGTTTATGTGAGTAGAGTCCAACTGCGAGCTGCAATCTGCGAGTTGTTGCCTCGTACAGATTGATTTCTTCATTGATGGAGCTCTGTTCACATTGAGCATGGGGCTTGGTGCTTGGGGAGCATTTCTCGTTACAGGCCTTACCAGGTTAGATTCTTGCTTATCGGATTCATACCTGTCATATTAATGCAGGGGGACCATGGAGGTACTAATTATATGGTGGTTCTGGGTCCCCTTTGTTAATGAGATTTTGTATTGTGCCATGAAATGAATCTTTTAAAATCACAAATTTATTTTTTGTGGGGTGGGGGGAATCTCATAATCATGAGACTTTTTTGATCTGCAGAATTCATGTAGTAGTTATTTATAAAAAGATCAACAAGGTCCAAGTGAGTGAGCTAATTGTTAGAGCTTAGTGATGAAATCAACTTCCTCTGGAAAAATTCAGCTCTCAATAACAACAACTTTTCTAAAAACACATTTCCCAAATCAAACGTGATCTCAAGGGTCTAGATTACTGGGACAGCCATTCCCAGAACCAACTTTTGAAGAGCCCTGCCCTTTTAAATGAGCAAATTTGTTGGAAACTCCATTTCCAGACCTCAAGTATAGAGTAAATACAGATAGAATTTAAGATTATTTTTATGATATCAAGGGTTATTTTTTAGTTATTTATTAGTTTGCATTGTCAAAGATTCTTGTGATGACTCACTGCCACAGAATTAATTCCAATTCTCCACAACCCTACAGGACTGAGTAAAACTGCCCCTTTGGGTTTTGAGCAAAAGTTTTCTCTTTCTCCTGCGGAGTGCTAGTGGGTTCAAACTAATGACCTTGCAGTTAGCAGCCCAGCTCTCAGATTTTACTGTAGTTCATGACTTATGGCTTCAGACTAATTATTACACTATTTGGGACTTACAAAGTTGTATTACATAAATAGCTTTTGACTTATAGGTAGTGAAATATCTAATTTTTTAGTTTTCCTTTTGACTGCCTTTTATTGTCAGTGATATCTTTATAAATCATAACATTGGACACTTGTAAGTGAATGTCTGAGAATGATCACATCAGTAAATTATATGCTACAGTGTATGTAGTACGTATTACTAACAGTAAGACAGTAATTGTCTGTTTAAAAATATTGATGGTGTGAAATATCATGACTCAAGTACATTGTAGGTTAGGGAAATTGGCCAATGGCCAGGGGGAGGAATGCTAAATACTCACCTACAATGATAGGAAATAAAACATGTTTCAAAAAACAAAGCATAGTAATAGAAGCAAAATAGCACAATAAAAATCGGAAGTACTTTTATTTTGTTTGGGGTATGAGGACCAGTGTAGCATGAAAAATACTTTTCATAAGTATTTTTGCTTTTTAAGCTGTGTGTATGACTATAAAAAACTTATATATATATATATATATATATATATATATATGATAAGTAAAATATAACTTCTAATTAAAAGTAGCAGCATGGTGACCAGTTGGGAACAGAGTGGGCTGCCCACCGGTACTTAGGGGAGGAAAGTGGTTGTAGTGGTCTCAGTAGTTATGTCCTTAGCCTACCACACTTAATGAAGGTCTTCTCAAAGTGGGAGAGTTTGCCATTTGGGAAAGCACTTTTAGACATAGCTTACTCTTCCTTTTACACATTGGTGGGAATTACCTAATAGTGGGTGCTGGTCAGTTACCCCCATTCTTGAGTGCTGCTGTCCAGATTGTCAGAGGGGTCACAACTGTGTTCAGACCCCACAGACAGACTTGTATTTTGCCATCATTTAAAATCCAGAAATATATAATCTTACTTGCACATGGAATAAGCACCTCAGTCTAAAAACTAATTATTAAAATTTATATGAATGACAAAATTTCAGGACCAAAGGATAAACCTCAGTTTAGAATTTTCTGACCTGAATTAGGAAAACTATAAGATAATCTAAAATTACGAAGTTCCATCCACTCAGAGTTCTAAACATTGCAGTGACTAAGTTGATTTGCAAGTGTATTTCATGTCTTTTCTCTGTACCATTCTAGGTGGCGCTCGTGTTCCCGAACAGCGATCCTGTGATGTTCATGGTTGCGTTTTATGGGTGTCTCCTGGCAGAACTGATTCCTGTTCCCATAGAAGTGCCATTAACAAGGAAGGTAGCAAAACGATCCAGTTCACAGGACTCTAGTTCCATGAGCTTTTATTCTGAAATTCACAGGAGCCTAGTCCTTTATCCTGAGACAGGGTGTAAAAGGCAAGTGTTCATTTTTACAGAGAGAGGAATACAGCGGGAGGCAGTCAGACTTGAGAGAGAAACTAGTTTGATGCATTTGGTGCAGTTGAAAATCAGGAAGAGGGTGAGTCAGGGCTCTTTGCTTTCCCCATAGTTGTCCACCTTGTATGCTGAGCATGCAATGTGCTGGACTGTGTGCAGAACATGGTGTCAGCATTAGAAGAATGCTCATTAACAACCTGACCTGTGCAGATGAGACAGCCCTGCTTGTTTAAAGCAGGGAAGACTTCAAGCACTTACTCATGAAGATCAAAGACTACAGCTTTCAGTGGGAATCACACATCGATATAAAGAAAACAAAAATTCCCACAACGGGACCAATAAACAGCATCATGCGAGGAGGAGCGAAGATCAAGGTTGTCAGGGATTTCATTTTGCTTGGACCCACAGTCAGCACTCGGGGAAACAGCAATCAAGAAACCAAAGGATGTATTGCACTGGGTGCATCTTTTGCCAAAGATCTCAAAGTTGCTTAAGAGCAAGGATGTCACTTTGAGGATTAAGGTGTGCCTGACCCAACCCAAGGAACCCCGGTGGTGTCCCGTGGTTATATTTGAGCTGCTAACCATCAGTTTGAGACCACCAGTGGCCCCATGGAAGAAAGATGAGGCTTTCTATGGTTTTGGAAACACACCGGGGCACCTGTCCTATGGGATCACTGAGTTGGAATTGACTTAATGGCACTGGATTTGGTTTTTGGTTTTGGACTAGAACCCTGGAATTTTCCATCTCCTATGCATGTGACAACTGGACAGTGCATAAGGAACACCAGAGAAGGGTTGGTGCCTTTGTGTTGTGGTAATGACAAAGAGCATCCCATTACCATAGACTGCCAGAGGAGTGAACAAATGCACCGTGGAAGAAGTACAGCTGGAATGCTCCTTAGAAGCGAGAGTGCTGAGCCTTCAAACCACCTAGTTTGAGTCATGTTATCAGGAGGTGCCAATCCCTGGAGAGGAATAACATGCTTGGGAAAGTAGCCGGTCAGCAAAAAAGACCCTCCATGAGATGGATTGACAAATTGGCCGCAACATTAGCTCAAACGTAGCACTGATTGTGGGCACGGCACAGGGGCACAGGCGTGGGCAGTGCCCTGCTCTGTGGTACACAGACTCACTTTGGGCCAGAACTGGCTGGATGACACTAATCACAACAATCCGACATTTGAAAACCATACGATTTTAGTGGGAGACCGGTTTCTTGTTACCCCTTCTACTTTCTTGGGGTTGAGTTGACTAGTAATATAATCTTTAACAACAAACATTCTAAGCCCCCAACAGTTATATATACAAATAAAAGGATAACGTACAATGGACAGTTATTTGAATACAGTGATTCTCAGGAAAGAAACCAAACTTAAAAGAGATGTGTCAAACTCACACAAAGAACCTAACAAAACTGCTCAAAGACGTAAAAGGGGACTTTGGAAAGTTCATAGAAAAATTCCCTTTTCCAATTCAAATTTTCCTCCCACAGACTTTGATTAATTGAAGACACTCGTCATATTTGTATGAGGAAATGATTGATATTGTTGAAACTCAGGCCTGTGCAGCTTCATCTGGGATTTTTAATCACAATCCAAGTAGAAATTTTAGTGCCACTATTTTTGGAGCTTAGTACAATGCTTTTAAATGTCATTTGCAAGAACAAACTTTGAAAAATAATCCATTTTTCAGACCTTTATATTTCACTGCAAGGGCCAAGAATAATAATTTTTTTTAAATTACATTTGTTTTCCCGAGACAGTCATCTTTATTGTAATGGCAGAGTGTTCCGGCAGTTTTGTTTAGGAAGTGTGAAGAGCCCTTCTTTCTGCATGCAGTGCTGTTTCGTGCGCAGCATTGGGTGCTGTGGTCCCACGGAGGTGACTCACCACACCACTGCTTTGTCTCTACAGGACGCCGGCAGCCAGCAGGTGGGCTTTCTGCTGGGAAGCTGTGGGGTCGCCCTGGCCCTGACCACAGAGGCTTGTCAGAAAGGCCTTCCCAAAGCACAGACTGGAGAGGTGGTAACCTTCAAAGGTGGGGCTCTCGGGAAGGGGAGGTCAGTATTGTGGTCATGTTCTTTGTCAAACTATGACCTTCAAGCATACTTTTTAAGAAACTAACCATTTTAGAGTATGAAGAGTCTTTACCCAAAATGTTGAATCCCTTGTTAATTTTCACCAGGTGGCAAACCCAAGTGGGTTTGGGGTTTCTAGACCTGCTCTATGTAGTGTAGTGGACAGCTGCCACGTGCAGCTATTGACATGGAATAGAAATGAATTAAAATTAAACAAGACTAAAAATTCAGTTCTGAGTTGCACAGCCTACATTTCAAGTGCTCAGTTGCTCTTGGCTGCCAAGCGGGGCTCTGGGTGTGGGAGAAGAGACCCTTTGATGCTCACTCACTCGCGAAACGTTACCTGTCTGTGCCGTTGGCAGGTTGGCCTCCCCTCGCCTGGCTGGTGATTGACGGGAAGCATCTGGCAAAGCCCCCTAAGGACTGGCACCCACCCACTCAGGATATAGGGGATGGGATTGCCTACATCGAGGTAATGAATCTCCTTAGCCAAGGCGCAGTCTGAAGCACTCACCACGTGATCAGATTTTGCTTTTCATAACAGTAGACAGGACACACACACACACACACATACACACACTTCAGACTAAGAGTTCTTGTTAAGTTGCATCTTCACTCCAGAAGTGCAGAAATGTCACTGAGTACTCCACTTAATCTCTTTAGGTGTCACAGCTATTTCATCCCTCCCGGCTCCCCTGGGGTTGCCGGTGTTGTTTGAGGAGGTGTCTTGAGGATGCACTCATTGAGGAAGTGTTGTAGAGGAAAGTACCTTTTGAGGACGTTTCCTGTGAGGTGCCCTTTGTGCGTTGCTCTCCAGGCCCCTGGCCTGGGACAAGCCACAGTGGGCTGTGGTCTGGAGGCTGTCTCCTCAGGGATCTAGGCACTCTGATCGCACAAGGATTTGTGAAGTAGGCGTGGCTCCTCAACCTCCATCCTTCCTGTAACAGGTTCTTGCATGCATTTATTGATATATTTGTTTTTCAGTATAAAACCGGCAAAGAAGGCAGTACCGTGGGGATCACAGTGTCCCATGCATCTCTGCTAGTGCAGTGCCGGGCTCTGACCCAGACGTGTGGGTACTCGGAAGGTAAGGTCCGCTTGGTGACAGAGCGGGGGTGGCTTTCGCTACGTGTGCTTCCTGAGTCCCTCACTGAGAACCACTCTGCCATGGTTCAGATCCATCACTGCGGCCTAGCAGCGCTCCTGGGGGTGTTGGCTTATCTTAATATGCTCACAGGCATCTCTCTTTTCGGAGGAGTCCTGGTGGTTACAATTTGAGCTGCTAGCTACAAGGTCAGCAGTTCAAAACTGCCAGCTGCTCTGTGGGAAGAAGATGAGGCTTCTTACTCCTTGTTAAGATTTATGGTGGAAGAACCTCACAGGGCAGTTCTACTCTGTCTTACAGGGTCGGTATGAGTCAGAATCCACCAGGCGACAGGGAGATGTTGGTTTCCTTTCTTTTGTGTGGTGCACCTCAGAGTTGCTCTGGCCTTTCCTTAGAACCACACCCGAGGATAGCCCCAGATCTGCCTGAGAGGAGCCTCTCACCTCTCTGCTTGACAGGAGCCCTGGCCCAGGTCCCTGTAGAGGACACCACTGAGGGCTGTCACCAGAGGGCTGCTCGGGGGATGCTTGGGTCCTCCTCTCTGGCTAGCTCTGCAGCATGAGGGCATCTTTGTCTTGGATGAGAACAAGGAGCCATGAGAAAGCGCAGCATTGGAAGATCAGTGACGCGCTGTCGCATCTTAGCGAGGGAAGCCAGCATCTAAATCTCTGCAGTGTGAGCAAAGGGAACTTCTGGGGCACGGAGCTGAGAGGAAGAATGAAGGAGGAATAAACCTGTGACAATTCTGCACCCCATAGCTCTTCATTCTGAAAAGGCTTTATCTGCAACATTTGATTTTCAAATGTGTGATGGGGCCTCCTGCAGTTTCTTGGGCATGAGACATCCCCTTAGCTCTCAAGTTTGTGAGAGCACAGCTGTTCTCTGATTCAAGTCAGGTGTTTGACCTGCTTGTCTGTCTGTTTCGATAATTTGAATGGTTAACCAGTGGTGCCCATTAACCGATGCATGGTATTTGGAATGACCGTATATGTCCGTGTGCTCATCTCGAAAGTCCTCTACAATATGGACAGTGCTGTAGAAGGTTGTCCAGCCGTTTAACCATCTCTGTCCCCTTGCAGCGGAAACATTAACAAATGTGCTGGATTTTAAGAGGGATGCTGGTCTGTGGCATGGAGTGTTAACGGTGAGTGTTGTATGTTGAATGATCTAAGAGACGGAAGAAAAGATTCCCGTGTCTTTGCACCAAGAGTGGTGCTAACCCTGTTGTTAGATGCTGTAATTCAGGGGACCTCAAACTTTTTAAACAGGGGCTCGTTCACTGTCCCTCACACCCGTTGGAGGGCCGGACTATAGTTTAAAAACAAAACTATGAACAAATTCCTATGCACATATCTTATTTTGAAGTAAAAAAACAAATGGGGCAAAAACACCCCGCGGGCCGGATAAATGTCCTCGGTGGGCTGCATGTGGCCCGCGGGCCATAGTTTGAGGACCCCTGCTGTAAATCATGTTTAGTGTGTGTTGATTGACTTGAGTGGATGGACGACACATGACTCTAAAATCTTACCTACCTAATACACACTTACCATTTCTGGTGTCACTTTCCACGGCCCTGTTCTGGGAGATGAAGTGAGGGCCCACTTTGCCCTTGAACGAACTCATTTCCCCTGCAGAGTGTCATGAACAGGATGCACGTCATCAGCATCCCTTACGCCCTGATGAAGGTCAACCCGCTCTCCTGGATTCAGAAAGTGTGTGCTTACAAAGGTAACCCGAATCATCATAGCCTCTTGATCATGCTCTGAATAGAGAAAGCTCTTTGAGTTAAACTTCTTCAGTAAGAAAAAAAATAACACCAGCCCTGCAAACCCGGAGGTGTGGCTGAGGAAGCCCAGATGCCCACCGTTAGTCTGGGCTGTGCATGCGAACTGCCCTGCTCCTGCCTCTAGAAGCCTCTAGAACTCCGCCCTCCAGGCTCCTGTGGCCCTGTAGGCACCAGGGGCGTGCGCAGCATCTGCACTATAAACCATGGTCCAGAATCCTGATTGTGTCCTCTCACGAGTTCCTATCATCTTAGTATTTGAAATGGCTTTGATTTGAAGTTAGTGCTTTTCATACCATCAGTAGCTAAGCTGCTTAATCAAATGAAAGCTGCTTTCAGAAGCCAGCCTGTCCTGGGCCGAGCCCTGGAGGAACCCAGCCCGGACGCTCTGCAGGGCAGCCCCAAGCCTGTTGCGGAGCAGGCAGGAGCTCCACGCACAGTCAGAGTTCCCCCTCTGCTCTGGGGTCTGGGCGCAGTGGGACTGATGCCCACCTGATGCTGACTAAGCTGGACCCGCCTCCCTTATTGTCTGTTCTGCCTGTATTGATTGTAACCACCGAGGCCCAGTGGGGTGTGTGCTCTGCGGGTGCGCTTTGAAGTATGAGTTCTGGTTGTCCGAGCAGCCACCCAGGGGTCCCACCTTTTGGAGTACAGCTGCAGGGAGGCTGAGGTGGGTGGGAGACCTGGCAGACAACAGTCAGGTTAAGGCTAGAGCCAGTCTGTCAAAATCCACGGTCATCCTACTCCCACCCGTCTCCCTCACTGCCTTTCCCCCCAGGCTTCCCAGCTCCCAGCTGGTGCAGGCACCACAGCAGTGTGCAGCCCTGAGTAGAGTGAAGGAGCTTTAGCACAGGCCAGGGACTCCAGGGCTGGAGCAGCCGGCTGCAAGGCGTGAAGGGCAGAGTAAAGCCCTGAAAGCATTAACGTTGAAAATGAGTTTGAGTTTATGACATCCGAACTCAAGCTCCAGGTGGATGTTTACGTGAGAGGGCTCTGGCGCAGCTTAGTGTGCACACTAGACTATTGGGGCAAGGGCATGCTGGTGGGAGATGAGTCCTCTCTCTCCTGCCCATGGGACTGCCATGCCGTGTGTGCCCAGGACTCTCAGGGTCCATCCCGTGACTCCTGTGAGTCACGCCTCTCCCACACACCTGTCTCCTCCACAGCCCGAGCAGCCCTGGTGAAGTCCCGAGACATGCACTGGTCTCTCCTGGCCCAACGAGGTCAAAGAGACATTAGCCTCAGTTCCCTGCGGATGCTGATCGTGGCAGACGGTGCCAACCCATGTGAGTATGCAGCCCTGGCCATGGGGCGGGGGTCCTCTGTCTCCTGACTGCTGACCCTCCAGGTGGACTACACCTGTGTTGATAGATCCTCCTGAGCAATAAAATAAGCAGTGCTGCCTGCAACATTATAGAGCCTTTATAGGTCCCATGGTGTTCTAACACAAGGACTCCTGTCTGGCTACAACTCCTCAGGCAGGTCTATTGGGGTCCCTCATCCCAAGACAGCCTACTCTGTTGATGAGAAGCCTAGTGGAAAAGTTAAAGTTGACAGGATGTAGCTATAGAATTAGTAGGGGAGAGGGACAGGCCTCTTCTTTCTCTGATGAACCACCTCATCTCAAAACTCCCACCGTGAACCCTCTTCCCTAAGACCCGGCCCTGAGCCCCCATCCCAAGTCATCTGCCCTGAGCGCTGAGCTACCCACTGTTAGTTCTGTGTCGTGCCACACCTGCTCCCAGGCCCTTCTCCCTGTCGTGGGGCCTCTGTGCACACAGTCCTCTCTGACCACACGCCCCAGGGCAGGGCCATCCTTACCTCATGCTCCTCGGCCCATGAACTCTGTGTGGAGTTGTGGTCTGTGTGGCTTCAGATGCCTGGCTTTGGTCTGGAAGCAGGGTCCCTCTGTCTGGGACCTTGTCCGGGAGTGCTGGCGATTGTGGCTGAAGGGGCTCCTTGGGCAGCAGTGTCCCTTCCCCAAGCCCAGTGGGTACTGCAGCCATTTCTCTTTGTTTAGTGTCCCTTGCCTGACTCAGGAGGAGAGGGCATTGTAGCCCCAAGGGAGCCCTGTGGCTCCACAGGTGTCTAGCGCTAACCTCTCAGGGCTGAGATAGGTGTCTGATGACTGTGGGGTGGTCTTGCTGGTGCTGAGGCTGGACCCCTGGTCATGACTAGAGGGGACCACCATGGGGGAGTGCATTGTGCAAGAAGCGGGGCGGCCGGGGTGGGGCACACTTGAAACGACAGGCACTCATAGGCCCTCCCCACACAGGGCTGGGTGGGAGGGACCGCTGGCAGGTCTGCAGCCCCACTCCCTTGTTCCAAGGCCCTTCCAGGCCTCTGCCATGGGGCAGAAGGTTCTCGCCCCCAGTCCAGGCTTGGGGCTGGGGGCTGCTGTCATCATGAGCTTGAGCATCCACCCCCCAGGGAGTGTGTCCACCCCAGCACCTCTCTCCTGACCTGTGCAGGGCACTCAGAGTGGCCCGATCGGGTCAGGCCAGCCTGGAGGTCAGGGCTCGGCGTTCCCTGTCGTGAGACAGCACTCTCAGACCTGGGCTTGTGGGAGGCGCCCTGGCAGAGCTGGTCTGCGATGAGATAAACTGTCTCCTCGTGGCAGCCCTTTCCTGTAAACACCCTGTGCCTCTGCACACCTCCCTGAGCATCAGGTGGCAGGTGACAGGATGGCCTCTGCCCACCTCCTGACCTGTCCCTCTCCTCCTCTCTCGCAGGGTCCATCTCCTCCTGTGACGCCTTCCTCAACGTTTTCCAGTCCAGGGGCCTGCGGCCGGAGGTCATCTGCCCTTGTGCCTGCTCCCCTGAGACACTCACGGTGGCTGTCCGAAGGTAGTCTCCTTTCTGCCGGGAGGCCCAGATGCATAGTCCTCTCTAGTGCCAGTCAGGTGGCAGACAGGACAGGGTGGTGTGCTCGCTACCTGTTGATGACTTCGTCTCAGACTCTCACATAGCGCATGCTCTGGTTGGTGGGGGGTGGGGGGGGGGGTGGGGGGCGCGCAGGCAGGCACTGTCTGGGCAGCCGTCCTCCTGTCCCCACAAGAGCCTACAGGAGGCGCTGCCTCACTGGGCCTTCTAGCCGGACCTGGCCAGTTCCAACGCAGTATCCTGCCTCTTAGCAGGATATCAGGGAGGAAAGCGGGCAGGGCTCTGTTTTGGACGGGACGTTGGCATATCCAGGCGGGATGGGATGGCCCAGCCTCATCCCATGGTTGCTCAGCAGCCACACTCTGAGCTTCAGCCCCCACCCGTGTATGTGAGAGGCTTGAGCACCTGCGGTCCTTACCTGCTCCTCCTCTCAGCTGTGCTCCCAGCCACGGGCCCCACTGTGACCTGGGAACCCTGACTGGTTCCACAGTGGTTGGCTGGGCCCCCTTCAGCCAGGAGCACCATCTGGGCACAGCACCTGGGCTTCAGCAGCCCCTCCCTGGTGACCAGCACCCCAGCCCTTATCCTGAAGAGGACTCACTGCCCTTGTGTGACTGCCTTCCTTGTGCCCCTCTGTGTGTGGGCACCTTGAAACCCACCACTTTGCAGTGCCATCGCCACACTGCAGTGCCATCGCCACACTGCAGTGCCTCTGCCACCCATACCAGCCCGCAGAGCTGGCTGCTCTCCCGGCCCCAGCTTCTCTCCTGCAGCCCCACCCTGCACCAGCCCTCCTGCAGGCCTGATCTGATGGGTTCATAGTCCCGCTCCTGTGTCCAGGCTCCCGCTTCCACTCAGCCACTAGAATTCAATCTTCAGTGGTGGTTGCTTTTTTTTCTATATCATACTCATCCATATAAGTAGTATGTGCTCATGCATACTCAGTAATATGCGTTTTAAAATCATAGCATGAGAAGGAGACCCCTTTTTCCACAACTGCAAATTATTCTTTATCTCTTTGACCTGCTGGGGTTTGTTCTGCAGGGCGGTGTAATTTCCCTCGTAGCAGAGGACTGGGGAGGGTCCTTTGTTTCTCAGCGCCCTGGGTCTGGGGCTGCATTAGAAGCCACTCTCAGATGTGGGCCCGAGGCGGGAAGACCCTGCGGGCTTACAGGGAGATGGTGTCCGAGCTGGCAGGGTGTGGCCGAGACAGCTGGGGCTGCCTGGCACCTCGCTGTCCGGTGATCTCTGTCACCCCTACCTCATGGCTCCTTGCAGCAGACGCTCCAGCCCAGCTGGACTGCTCACTCCCCTGGCCTCCCCATGCACCTGCTACTCAGCTCTTGGCAGCAGTGTCCCCATACAGCAGGGATCCCAGGCCCTTTCTGAAGAGGGGTACTGGCCTCCCCTGTCAGGACTGTGCACTGTCTGCCAGACTCAGATGCATATCTCTGCACCATGTGAGGCTGAGGGTGCACAGCTAGGCTGCAGGGTGTCCACGCTGGGCACCCCGGATTCCAGGTAGGGTTTCTCCTCACCCCTGCAGTGAATTGGATGGTGGCTCTGTTTTCCAGACCTCCTGATCTGGGAGGACCCCCTCCCAGAAAAGCCATCCTGTCAATGAGTGGCCTCAGCTACGGTGTGATCCGTGTGGACACCGAGGAGAAACTGGCTGTGCTGACCGTGCAGGATGTTGGCCAGGTGATGCCGGGAGGTAAGGGTGCCTCCCACGGCGTCCAGTTCCACTTGGCGATACGTGGGGTGGGATAGCATGGCTCCTGAGCTCTGGGTGGAAAAGTCTAAACACACTTCTCAGTGCCACTGGGCACGCCCTTAGATGCAGTGCACGGCCTGCACCTCACGAAATCCCTTCTCCTGGGAACTCCCTGCGTCTAGAATGCCCTCCCAGCTGCCAGGACAGAGGAGGTCGGTCCTGGTGAGTGAGGTGCTCTCGTCAGCTCTGATTTCGAGGCCCTGTTTCTCCCTCTTAGCCAGCGTGTGTGTGGTGAAGGTTGAAGGGACCCCTTACCTCTGTAAGACGGACGAAGTCGGGGAGATCTGTGTCCACTCCAGCGCCACAGGCACCGCGTACTACGGACTGCTTGGGATCACAAAGAATGTCTTTGAGGTCTGTACCCTCCGGGGCTTTGTGCGACGTCTAGACCCGGCACCTGTGGGCCTCCCAAGCACACTGGCTTCGTGAGGCCTTGCTGTCTGCCTGACCCCCTTTGCATTCTGTGCAGACCACCCCGCTCACTGCAGGAGGAGCTCCTGCCTCGGACAGGCCGTTCACCAGGTCCGGCCTGCTGGGCTTCATTGGGCCGGTGAGTGCATCGCTAGCCACCAGGACCCTCACAGGTGTGAAAGATCTCTGAGGGGCTCTGTCAGGGGTGCTCAGTCAGGTGATTTGGCCCTCAGAGGGCACACGGGGTAGTCATGAGGTGATGGTAACCTGGCAATGTGAGTGCCCTGTAATGCACAGGACGGATAGTTCCCTGGGCCTCTGTCAGCTCAAAGTATCATGGGCTTCGAACTTGGGGGGGCCTGCCCTTGCCAAAGTTTTTCACAGATTCCCCTAGAGCAGTGGTTCTCCACCTTCCTAATGCCACGACCCTTCCATACAGTTCCTCATGTTGTGGTGCTCCCCCAACCATAACATTATTTTTGTTGCTACTTCATCACTGTCATTTTGCTACTGTGATGAATCAGTTGGCCCCTGTGAAAGGGTCGTTTGACCCCAGGTTGAGAACCGCTGCCCTCGAGTTTTGTTCCAGCCGCCAGCCCCCACCCCTTCCTCTGTACCTTTCCTTGTGCTGTTTCCCCAACAGCCCCCATCCCGCCGGTGAGTCCCACTTAGACTGTGGGCACCAGAACATGCCTGTCTGTGCCGGGCTCACTGGCCTCCTTGCCCCCAGGACAACCTGGTCTTCGTCGTGGGCAAGCTGGATGGGCTGATGGCAGTCGGCGGGCGCAGACACAGTGCAGACGACGTGGTGGCCACTGCTCTGGCCGTGGAGCCCATGAAGTTTGTCTACAGAGGCAGGTGATGCTGGCGGGCCCCATGTGTGCACTTCGGTCCCCCTTGGTTGAGGTTTGGGAGCCTGTCTGGAGGGGAAAGAGGCATGCCAGTACATGTGTGTGCGCAAAGCCTGGGGCTTTCTAGGCATCAGAAAATCTCATGTAGAGGCAAAGATGAGGCGAAGTGTGGTGAGAAAGGTGGCTGGCATTAATATTCCTACCGTCTAAAGTTCATTCAATCCTTTGGAAAAATTGGATCTAAGCATGTAAACTGGGCAAAGGAGCAGGAAGACAGGCCAGCCCAAGGGAAGACAGTGAAACACGAAGCGAAAATCCAAACGCGCTGCCTCCACAGTACGGGCTGAACACGAGATGACAGCATCAGGGAGGATGTTCACACTTTGAAAGGGAAGTTGGAATCTAGATGTCCACCAGACCGCACACTCAAATTTACGAATAGCCTTGGGAATACACATTTCGGGAGTTTTGTCACAAAAAGGCACCTATTGAAACATTGTTTTTTGGCAAGAGACAAATCAGGACGTGCTGCAAGTGAATGAAAATAAGGACAGTGACACATGCAGTAGGTTTGTTACGTGAGACTGTGTGTGTGCGTGTGTGTCAGCCAAGGGAACATAGACCTGCCCCAGGTTGACCCAGCAGACCACACTAACCTGGTGGTTTGAAGGGAGAGCAGCTCTTGGAAGGGAAGAGAGAGAGAGAGGTCACCCCCAGGTTTGACAGAGACGCGGAACAGGACTACGCAGAAACACAGGGAGCACGTGAAAATTCTTGAGCGGAAGACCGTGGAAACAATACACTCACGTTTGTCATTTAAAAAAGAACAAAACCTCACTGCCATCAAGTCGATCCGACTCGCGGCAAGCCTCTCTCTCGGTCAGTAAGCACAGTGAAATGCGCAGGCTGGCCCGTGGGCACGGCTGATGGATGTGAGTAGATTAAACAGAGTCGACGTTGTAGACCAGGATGTTCCCACACGGGTGCACATTAGAAACAAGGACCATGTCCTTTCAAAACCAGTGTCTGGTGGCTTGTTTGGCCCAGAGATCCTCTGTTTCTGCGATTGTCATAATTCTTAGTGAGCAGCCCACTTTTACATTTGAGTTTCGAACGCACCGCCTGCCTCGTTCTGGCTCTGTGGGCCATCTGCGCCTCCCTCGCCTCTCTGTCCTCTGCTGCAGGATAGCCGTGTTCTCCGTGACGGTGCTGCACGACGACCGCATTGTCCTGGTGGCCGAGCAGCGGCCCGATGCCTCGGAGGAGGACAGCTTCCAGTGGATGAGCCGTGTGCTGCAGGTGGGCAGGCAGCCTCGCTCTGCTCCTCACCTCTGCGCTCCTGCCCTCCCTCCTCATCTCTCGGCCCGCTTCCTGCCCTCGTGCGCTCCCAGTGGCCTTGCTTAGGGTTTCAACAAACCTTTCTCCAGTTGGTTTTCCATGTGTGGGTGGCATTCCCCATTCTTCTGTGCCTGCATGTACAGGGAGCTGTGTTTTCCACCCTCCTTCCTTCTACCTGTCCCTGTCTTCAGCTTGGCTTTGAAACGCAGCCCTCTTGATCATTGTACTCGGAAGGCCAGGTCCCTTTCGCTCCATGGTTGGTTGCTGGGTTTCACTGGCTGGCTGGCTGGTCCCGAGGATCCTGTGGAGTCCCTGGGTGGTGTAGAGGGTGAAGCAGCTGAGTATGGTTGGCCCTTGGAACCCACCCAGAAGATGGGTCTGAACAGCTGCTTCCAAAGGGCTGAGAAGCCCCTATGGAGCAGGTCTAGTTCACGCATTTGGGATCAACAGACGTCAGACTAAACTCAATTGTAGCTAACCACCCAAAGGAGTCCATCTCCATCCTACTTGGCCTGCAACAATGGGAGCTAAGTAAATGTGTGCTCAGCAAGGACTAGCGTTTCCTGACTGTCCAGCGCTGCATCTGAAGTATTAGTGCATCATGATTTGTTACCTCAGTAACAGATTCATAAGGCTGTTAGCCGTGCGAATGCCTTAAAATGAAAATGTAACCCAGGGTCTGTAGACCAACTCCTCAGGGCTGCAATGGTGGGAAAGAACCTGTACACCTCTGTACTGCCCCCCCCCCAACTTTGATGATAGAAAAATTTTCAACGTACAGCAAAATTTAAAGCCTAGTACAATGAATTCCTAGAGACCCAGGCCTAGGTTCTACCGTCCCAGGAGATGTTGTTGGATTTGCTGATTACGCACTGCTTCCGCTCCGGGCTGCCTGTGTTTTGATACGGTGTGGAGTCATCCTCCGCTCTGCACCATCCATGGTCGGTGTTCATGTCTTTGTGTGTGTGTCTACTTTTTAAAAAATTCATTTTATTGGGCTCGTACAGCTCTTATCACAATCCATCCATACATCCATTGTGTCAAGCACATTTGTACATTTGTTGCCATCATCATTTTCAAAACATTTTCTTTCTACTTGAGCCCTTGGTATCAGCTCCTCATTTTTTCCCCTCCCTCCCCACCCTCCCTCCCTCATGGGTGCTCATGTCTTTAGCCATGTACTGAGCTAGTGTTTGGGAGATTTTTTTTCTTTCAGGGAAGATAAAATTTGCAGTGAAGTACACAAATCTTTACTGTATCACTTAGTAAGGTTTTAAAAAAAAGCCTTTATTGTATATAATTAACAGGTAAAATGAACCCGTTTTTAAGTGTACACGATGACTTTTGATCACTGTATGCACCTACATCACCACTACCATAATAATACAGTCTTTAGACATTTCTATCACTCCAACAATAAGGACTTTGGGGTTAGTTTCCAACCCCTCCAGTCCCAGAGAACTATTGCTCTCCTTTGAGCCACTATCAGTTAGTTTTTCCTATTATAGGAGCTCTGTATCATTGGAATCGTGCAATGTGATCACCCTCTTCGGTATAGCTTCTAAACCTCAGTGGAACATTTTAGAGATTCCTCCATGCTGTTGTGTGGGTCAGTGAGCTATTTCTTTTTATTACCGAAGTGTTTCATTATATAGATATATTACAGTTCATTTACCCAGTCACTCACATTGACTGATATTTAGGTTGTTTCTCATAGGAAACAATTAATTAATCTGGTATGAATAATAATCTATGAACAACTCTTTGGCATATTCATTTCTCTTGGATGAATACCTAGCGTGAAATAGTTGGATCATATGGTTCGTGTACATTTAACTTAGAAAAATCTGCCGGATTTTCCAGAGAGGTTGATTCGTTTTGCACTCTGGTCACAGTGGATGTGAGTTCTAGTGCCTTCACATCCTCACCAACACGGGTGCTGGTGCTGGTGTGCGGTTAGGTGCCGCTGAGTCGGTTCGACGGACCGCGACCCAAGGCACAGCAGAGTGAGCACCGCCCAGTCCCATGCGTCCTCACAGTTAGTGTTACATTCTAACCCGTTGTGGCACCCGTGTGTCAGTCCATCTTGTCAAGGGTCTACCATACTGTTAATAGTTACGTAAATCTACTTTGTAATTTAAATCTAGATTCCCTTTATTACTGATTTCCCAGTCATGTATACCCTTGTGTGAAGTGTCTGTTTGGTTCTTTTGTCCATCTTATCAATGGGTTTGTCAGGAGGCAAAGGACATTTATAGAGGTCTAAATACAGGCATGTACATATGTAAATATA